GATTCGTGGGGGTGGAGTGGGCATCAGCTTTGGGTGCTTCTCATTCTGGCCCTCAACACTGGGGTGGAAGCATACGGGGTGGGGACACATTGCAGAGGGAGAGCATGTCGCAGCTCAGTGCTGCTGGCCTGAGATAAGGAAGCCTTTTCTTGTCATGAGAGACAGCTGTAAATACAGGAATCTTGGCAGTCTTTGTTGTCGCTCTTTAATACAGCTCAGAGAGACACAGATTTCCTGGAACGAAATTCTCCCTGCAGCTCGCAGTCAGCGAAGAGCGGTGGCTGTTAGATGCTGCTGCTCCATGTGCACGGCTGCTGCTGACCCGAGAGAGCTTCGCGGGCCTGGTCCTCGGGACGTTTCCTCTTTCTCTGATCACACCAGAAACAGGGCTGTGGGAAAGGAAAAGGGAAGGGAAGGGAAGCTTTATCTGAGTCTGACCGCATTAATGAGGCCTCCCTCGGTGCCACTGGCTGTAGGGAAATGGAGATAAATGGTGGTATTTTAAGAATGAGCCATGGCTTAATACTTAGAAATTGGCGGATTATGTGAACACGATGGCCCTGAGCACAGGGTGAGGGAGAAGAGGAAGGTAAATGTAATCTGATTTAACGAAAAGTCCAAGTTAGAGACTATTTTCAGAGATCCATGGCCTTCTATTTTCTTTTCAGGTCTAAATGGTAGCTGCCTACTCAAGTCAGGAGAGTGGGCAGCAGACTCTACATAAACCAGCGAGGGCTGCACAAGTAGGTAAACATCATTCACGATGACTCGTTAGGGCTCCGATAAGAACCCTGAGATTCTTGTAGCCACGTTGTGGTTAGTACGTCCTTGTATACAAGGCTCCCCTGTGATTTTTATAAGGGCACTTAAAATAGCCTATCAGTCTATGTGCTGAAATTTCTTGTTTCTCCTAATCATTAACGTCTGTCTTCACCCCCTTGCTCCCTCTCAGTTCCTTCCTTCCTTCCCTCTCTTCCTCCCTCCCTTCCTTCCTTTCTCACTTCCATCCTTGGTTGGACAAATGTGGCCTTCAATACCCAGCAGGCCTCAATTGTAATTTCTGAATTAGTGGAGCCCAAACTAATGAAGAAATATAGATAGTCCCCGCCTTAAGACAGGGTTCCGTTCCGATGACTGTCGTAAATCGGTTCTGACAGGTGGGCAGTTGTGACTACAGGTCAGAGGACAGTGTGAGTGAAGACAAGGACGCATGTATGGGCAACGTTTAGAAAGAGCAGAGGAAGTCTTTGACTGCCAGGCTGAGGAATTTGGACTTGATTTGGAGGGAGTCAATCGTCAAGTGTGACTAGACTCTCTTCCTCTCAGCGCTGAGAATGCTCAGGCGTTGGTTTGGTTCAATGACAGCAAATAGGCAGACTCTGTGAGACAGGGATCACTTTGCGCACCATTATAGCCCCAGTGATTGACTCAGTGCCAGGCATATAGGCACTCAGTAAGTACTTGCTGAATAATAAATACGAAATTTTGCTTAACTCTATGCTTTCTAATACTGTGGCACTGAGAAGAATTCCGAGTTAACCAGGAAGTGGTGCTGTTGATTAGTGATGTCTGGATAAGTACAGGTGAAGGCAATAGGAGCAGTTGTGACAAGTTTTGCTGTCTCTACCCTAGATAAGCGATCTGAGAAAGCCCCTGCAGTACTGCAGCCGCAGGAGAAGACAAAAGTCCAGGTGAACTTCAACTCTCAGGTTGCACTGTTGCTAACTTACCAGAATTAGTACCTATTAATTTAACTAACAGGCCTTGTTTTCCGTGCCCAATATGGCAAAGCCCTGCTATTTTGTGAGAGAATGAATACCTGCTAGTTCTGGGGAAGCCTGCAATGGGCATTCCTCTGAGATCCTTCACTCTGAAATGATTACAAGCGGCTTTGAAACAGGTGAAGCTAATCGATGGTGTTAGCAGTCTGGATAATGCTTGCCCCAGGTGGGGAGATAGTGCCTGGCAGAGGGCTCCGGGAGACTGGCCCATTCTGTTCATCATTAAGCTGGGTCCTGGTGACAGGTGGGTTCATCTTGTGACAATTGAGCAGTCTGTACCCAATTGTCACTCAAGTATAGGTTATACCCTGGGGATTTTTACACTTTTAAATATGTGTGCTATACTTCATTTAGAAGTTTACTTAAGGGAGGAGGAAAGGAAGACAGCGCTGAGGGGACCCTGAGCTTCTGTTAAGGGTGATGGAAACATTTGGGAATGGATCCGAGTGATGGATGAACAACATGATAAACATCATGTCACTGAACTGTGAAGACACTGGGGAGATTTTTGAAATGGCAAGTGTTTTGTTACATCTATATTTAGCACAATTAAAAAAAGTTTTACAGGATGAGGCCAGAGGAGTGCAGCCTTAGAACTGGTGGGGAGGTCAGAGCTAGCAGGTTACCGTTCTGTCCATTCCCAGAAGGTGGCAGTGTTATGCCGCCTGATAAAGCACATGAGCAGAACAGGATTCCTTGTTTTCTTCCCAGCCCCATCCTGAGACTTACTGCTGCTGATTTTGATCATCCTACTCGTTTTTATCTTTGGAATCCAGACTATTCTCTCCTTCCTTCCATCCCAAAGACATAGTTTTCATTTCTGTTCATAGTGACCAAAGTCACCCACTCTCAGAGAGAGGAGAGGGAAAACCTCAGAAACGGATGCAGGGACACTAGAGCCTAAGACGGTAACAGCACATTCGTCCTTTTGGCACAGAGCGCGTCAGGGAAAAAGGTTCAGTCCTTTTCTTTTGTTAGGCAGCAGCGTGTAAAAATTATCTGAGGAAGATTCTAGCCTGAAAGATGAACCTGTGCTCAAAAATGTACACCCAGGAATGTGCGCAAACCAGCCCCGTGAAGCCCTCTGACGCACCAGTGGCAGCACCGCTGGGTGTCAGGGCCAGGTGTCTCTTCCTTGTAGGACACTGGCTTAATTTCCTTTGTGCTTCTAAATGTGTTTGTATCCAGTCACCTCCTTCATCTCGCCAATAAAAGGTAGTCGTAGAATTGTTTTCGGTTTTAAAACTGTTGTTGTCTTGTTAGCTGCTGTTGAGGTGCCCTCGACACATGGGGACCCCATGCACAACAGAACAAAACACTGCCCGGTCCTGTGCCTTCCTCATGATTGGTCACAGATCAGACCACTGTGCTCCATAGGGTTTTTACTGACTGATTTTCAGAAGTAGATCACCAGGCCATTCTTCCTAGTCTATCTTAGTCTGGAAACTCCACTGAAACCTGTGTAACGTCGTAACAACACACAAGTCTCCACTGACAGACAGGTGATCGCTGTACGTGAAGTGCATTGGCTGGGAATCAAACCTGAGTGTCCCGCAAGAAAGGCGAGAATTCTACCATTGAACCACCAATGTCCCATTGTTTATATATTTTTTTAAAAAAGGAAGAAAGCAACCCATTGGCACTGAGTCAAGTCCGACTCAAAATCGAGGTACCAGCTTAAACTAGATGGAAGACGAAGATGGCTGTAGGAGCTAAGCAACAGAGCAAACACCCAGTCTCGTTCATCCTCCTGTCCTGCCATCCGTCTCTGTTTATTCGTATTTGTTCATTCATTCATCCATTTTTCAAACATTTCCCAAGAGTCTGTCACCCGTGGGGCACAGTGTTAAGTGCTGGGAAGAAAAAGGGAGTAGTCCTTGCCACGGTGGGCACAGGGCAGGGGAGAGACCGGCCTTGTGTTGTAATTGCAGCACAGCCTGGCCACAGCTCCTCATGGCGGGCGTGCAGCCACAGCTCTTCATGGCGGGTGTGCTGGGTGCTGCGGACATGAAGGTGGGCTATGTGCAGAGGACAGGATGGCCTGCCGAGAAAGAAGTGCCAGAGCCTGTTGGTGAAGGATGAACCCGGGCTTCCCAGCAGCCCACGCTGGATGGGCATTCCCGCCAGAGGACACAGAGTCCTAAGGAGCATGGTGTATCCCGGGAATGAGCAAGTGTCCACGTGGCCTCAGTGAGGAATAGTGCACTTAATGGGGGAGAAGAAGCCAGGACGGTAGATAGGGGCTTGAAAGTAGAGCAAACCACACGTCCAGTCTGTGGGCACAGTTCTCTGAGCTTCCTGAGGCAGTTTTAGTACCTGACATGCTCCCCAAATGGGCCTGGACAATGCAGGCCTGGGCCCATGGCATTAAAGCCCCAGCCTGCCCTGGGTAAGGCCCGCGTAGCCTGAGGACACCAGGCTCCTCCTGGTGCTTGTGCCAGTGTTCCAGAAAAATGGGGGCCACAGACAGCACTCTCCCCTTCAGCGCGCTCCTGTGTTGAAATGCAGCGTAAGATCCTCGTGCATTTGCTTTTTAAGCCATTTTTCATCTCTCTATATAAAAGGACTCATATTTTCAGGCAGTCTTGCTAGGGCATGAACTGTGACACAAAAGAATGGCATTCTCCTGCCAACTGTGACTTTGCTGGTGGAATGTCTTGGGGGAGGTGGAGGCACGGCAGTGTTATGACTTAGATTATTATTAAGATGGAGTTCCTGGATGCAGCAAATGGTTAAGCGCTCAACTACTCACCGAAAGGCTGGCAGTTCAAACCTACCCAGAGGCGCCTCAGAAGACAGGCCTGGCAATCTGCTTCCAAAAGGTCACAGCCTGAAAACCCTGTGGAGCAGGTATACTCTGCTCACATGGGGTCTCCATGAGTTGGAACTGAATTGGTGGCAACTAACAGTAACATTGAGATGCATGTTAGAGGCTGAATAACGCTGTGATTGATTTTGTGCGCACATGCGTAGCACCTTCCAGACTGACACGGTAGGTTGCCGGGTGGGCCCTGTGACATCCCATAACACAAACGTGCACTGAATGAAGTCTGACTGCTTATTGATAAGGAGCCATTTGTTCAAGATGGGTTTACAAATGGCGTTTGTCAGCCTACCTGTTTTCATAAAGGGCGTTTGTTTCTGCCCATCAGCAGGTAAGGTTTGTTTGCTGTTATTTGGATGCCTCTAATGCCCACCCCACCTGTCTTCTTTCCTCAGAGAGCCTTTTCATAAGCTGCTGGCCCAAGGCCTCATCAAGGGGCAGACATTCCGCCTGCCGTCCGGACAGTATCTGCAGAGAGATGAAATAGATCTCACAGGTAAGAGGGCCCATTTGGTCCCATTCAGGTACTTGCGGAGAACTAAAGCCAGTCCCAGGAGTGATGCAGTGAGCAGGCTCATGCCACAAGGGCCTGGCTGGCTGGGGAATCTTGGAAGAGAAGCTGTTGACTTCATGATCTCAAAGCCCTAGCTTGCTCTGGGCCTTCTGGTCTGCAAGCCCTAGCTTGCTGTAAGCCTTCTGGTCTGTAAGCCCTAGCTTGCTCTGGGCCTTCTGCTCTGTAAGCCCTAGCTTGCTCTGGACCTTCTGGTCTGCAAGCCCTGGCTTGCTCTGGGCCTTCTGGTCTGCAAGCCCTGGCTTGCTCTGGGCCTTCTGGTCTGCAAGTCCTGGCTTGCTCTGGGCCTTCTGGTCTGCAAGTCCTGGCTTGCTCTGGGCCTTCTGGTCTGCAAGCCCTGGCTTGCTCTGGGCCTTCTGATCTCTTAGCCTTAGCCTACTCTGGGCCTTCAGGTCTGTAAGCCCTAGCTTGCTCTGGGCCTTCTGGTCTCTAAGCCCTAGCTTGCTCTAAGCCTTCTGGTCTGTAAGCCCTAGCTTGCTCTGGGCCTTCTGGTCTGCAAGCCCTAGCTTCGTCTGGGCCTTCTGGTCTATAAGCCCTAGCTTGCTCTAAGCCTTCTGGTCTGCAAGCCCTAGCTTGCTCTGGGCCTTCTGGTCTGTAAGCCCTAGCTTGCTCTAAACCTTCTGGTCTCTAAGCCCTAGCTTGCTCTGGGCCTGTGCCTTCTGAAAGCTGGTGCTGAGACCTGCTGCCTACTCCTCGGTTCCAGCCCCCTTCAACTCAAGGGTCAGTTCAGCTTCTGGCAGGGTTTCATTTGTCTGTAAGAGAATCAACTGAGGCATCACCTCCTGTCCCAGTTCATCTTGGGGACAGAGCCCCAGACCCAAGAGACACTCTCCCAAGACTCAGGCACTCCCAGCATTTCTCCCCACGTCATCCAGAAGCACATTTCCGAACCTCGAGGGCCATCGCTCTGCTTACTGGGCAGCACCCTTGAGCTGCCCTGGCTAGCGCTTCCCTAGTGGATAACCTCTCCCTGGTTCCCCTGAACTCCCATCTTCTCCCACCTCTCACCGCGCCTTCTTCTCTACGCTCTGTGTTTTTGCCCCTACCTTAAAGAGATTTCCTCCTGCCAGTCTGTAGGTGGCATGATGAGGGCGTATCGTGCCTGGCCCCGGCACACAAGCGAAATAAATGACATGTCAGAACATAGGGGAGGTAGATGAGGGCAGCCATGAGGAAACGCCCAGTACTCTGGCCATTAAAGGTATATAACCCATGCCTAGTAGATGAGATTAGGTACCCAACAGCCCCTTCCACAGTAGACTGCCTCCCAAGCCAAACTAGAGAGAGGCTTTAGGTGGAAATAGTCGATCGAATTACCCGGTTAAAGCAATGCTGTATCAGGGTTTAGGGTGGTCGGCATGGACCCAAGGAGAGAAAGAAGCTGAGGAGGCAGAAATTGGCAGTGTTTCTCCAGCACAGACCAGAGGGAAGAGGAGTTAAATCCAGAGCACGTGAATTTCAGCCCACAGTGAGGTGCTCTGTGTTATGGGCAGGGCTGCCATGTATAGCTGTGCAGTTTGCACACTGCTCAAAGGCACCCAGCCAGTGGGGTTGGGACCAGGAGTCCAGCCACTTGCCAAACCATATTCCTCAGGGCCACAGCTTCCAAGAGAGGGTACCTCTTTCTAACTTAATTCCTCTGCCCAGAAAGATGCTTCTTTCCTAATTTGTTCAAGGGTGCAAAAAGGCCTAGCCACAGCCCGGGAGAGTAGAGAGGGCAGTGTTTCTCCTAGCCTCACCACCGGCCAGATAAAACATCTTCCAGGACTGCAATCTCAACTTTGCTCTCCGGTCGCGGGGCAGGCAGTCTTCAGAACATTCAGAACATCCTTTGACTTCCATGCAGACTTGCCCACTGGGCGAGAGTGCTTTGGTCAGCAGGGCCAGGTTTCCATCTGCCTAATGGATGTCCCTCTCAGGAAGCGTGGGATTGGCTTTTGGGTGTATGCCACGGTTTCTTGGGCGTTTGCTTTCTGCTGGAGTCAGAAGGGATGGAAATCTACCCATGGGCGGATTTATCATGAGAATAACAGGGGCATCACCCAAACCCAGCTGTGGGAAATATCACCAGGCCTCACGGCAAATAGGAAGTCACCAGGCCACTCCTGTAACTTCTCTCTTTCTTGAGCCTCTAGTTCCTCATCCGGCTTCTCTCTTCTGCTCCAATCCCCTTCCTCTGCCAGGCTAGGATTCTGCTTTCCCCTAATTTCAGTTTACAAGGTGAACAAGCCTTGCCTTATCTCGTCAGGACCTTATAGTTCTGGTGCTCAACAACATCGAAACAGAGTTTCTGTGCCTCGTAGATCTGATTGCTGAGAAGGAGCTTAGCCTTGTCAGGTGTCCTCTACCGGTTGCATCCACCGTGGCTTGGCAATATGGTCACCTCGTCCACATGTGGCCACCGTCTGGGGAGTGGGCAGTCATTGTGGGCCGGCTGGCACCACAAAGGGACCACCACATTTAGCGTGAGCCCAGTTAGCTCACTCCAGGTGCCCTGATCGTACAAAAGCATGTTGGGTGAGCACGACATGGAAGCAGGGAGAGCAGGCCTTGAGGAGAAGTGACCTCTCAGGGGGCTTTGCTGCCCTGGGACCCTGACTGGTCTGCTGCCAGCTTCTGTAGGAGACCCTGAAACCCGAAAGAAAACAGCAATTTGTGCAAGTATTTTTTTTTTTTTTTTTTGACTTTTCCTTTGAATATAAACTAAAATGTTTACAAAGGGGAAAATTGTTTTGCAACTGACAAAAAGCTGGCACAGGCCCTTATAACTGTACTATTTATTCATGAAAGGGAGGTTTGTGGGAGGGAGGTAGGCAGGCTCATTTATTTAAGAAAAAAAATTTTTTTTCATAATATAATATAGAGGGACCATGAAGTCTTCTTAAAACCAAACAATAGTTTAACTTAACTGGTAAAGAATGTCTGCCTGGAGCATTGTGCTCTTTTAAGAACTACCTATATGGGATCAAATTAACAACAGCAACTCAAAAGATTAGATAGGAACCTTAGGGGGAGTGAGTTTATGTTAATGAAGGAGGAACAACCCAGAAACGGAGGGTGAGAATGGTTACACAACTCGAAGAGTGTCATCAGTGTGACTGAATTGTACAGGTAGAAACTGTTGAATTGGTATTTGTTCTGCTGTGTATATATATTCTTAACAACAACAACAAATAAAATAAATTTAAATATAGATACATACATATATGTCTAGAGAGAGAGAGAGTGGGGGGAGAGAGAGAGAGACAAGTGTAGTAGGATTCTTCAAATGGACACTTTTAATCGCCCACCCAATATTCTCTCTTTTTTTTTTAATCTTAATATGGGTCATTGACAACTGAAGCATTCTTGGAAGATCAATAAATACTGAGGGTGCTAATTAATAAATAAATAACCAAAGAAGGGAGAGTGACTGAAGAGAAACTTATTGAGGAAAATATTATGTGGCAAGAGGCAGCTACGAACCCAAAATTTGGTTTTCATGTTCCTTTTTTTGTGTGTGTTTTAGGTGAAAGTTTACAGCTCAAGTTAATTTCTCATACAAAAATTTATACACATGTTGTTTTGTGACATTACTTGCAATCCCCACAATGTGACAGCACACTCCCCCTTTCCTCCCCGGGTTCCCTGTGTCCATTCGACCAGTTCCTGTCCCTTCCTGCCTTCTCATCCTGCTTGTGGATAGGAGCTGCCCATTTGGTCTCATATATCTGATTGAACTAAGAAGCACATTCTTCACGTGTATTATTTTTTGTTTTATAGCCTTGTCTAATCTTTGTCTGAAGAGTGGGCTTCGGGAATGGTTTTAGTTCTGGGTTAACAGTGTGTCTGGGGGCCGTAGCTTTGGGAGTTCCTCTAGTCTCAGACCGTTAAGTCTGGTCTTCTCACTAGAATTTGAGATCTGCACCCCACATTTCTCCTGCTCCCTCCGGACTCTCTGTTGTGTTCCCTGTCAGGGCGGTCATTGGTAGTAGCCGGGCACCATCTAGTTCTTCTGGTCTCAGGCTGATGGAGTCTCTGGTTCATGTGGTCCTTTAGTCCTTTGGGCTAATATTTTCCTTGTGTCTTTGGTTTTCTTCATTCTGCTTTGTTCCAAGTGGGATAGGACCAATTGATGTATCTTAGACGGCTACTCGCAAACCTTTAAGACCCTAGACGTCACTCACCAAAGTGGGATGTAGAACGTTTTCTTAATGAACTTTGTTATGCCAATTGACCTGGATGTCCCACGAACTAATATTTTCTTATTGAATGCACTTTTATAGAAACAAATTCAGAATCACACATACCATACCTGTGTGTTCTTTTCGTGTCCAGGTTCTGTTCCTGAGCACTCAAAAACGAAAGAGGCATTAGAGGTGACGTGGGAGAAGATGAGTAAGTCCAAGCACAATGGCGTGGACCCTGAGGAAGTTGTGGAGCAGTATGGGATCGACACAATTCGGCTCTACATTCTTTTTGCCGCCCCTCCTGAGAAGGACATCTTGTGGGACGTGAAGAGTAAGTCACCTTACTGCTTCCTGGCCTGCTTCCATTGTGATCTGCCTTGGACTCAAAAGGAATTTGGGGAAGGAAATGCCTTTGCTGAAGATGGTAGTAGAGACTTTGCGGAATCAGTTCCAATTTGTCGAACATCCTGTACCATTCTTAGACCAGTGTTCTCAAACGTAGGTGAGCCTCAGGATAGTCTGGGGAGGGAGCCCATTGCAAATGCAGATTCCCAGTCTTCACCCAAGACCCAGTGACACTATCTCCAGGAAAGGGTCCCAGGAATCTGCCTTTTAAGCTTTGTGGTGATTCTGATGCAAGGTGTACGGGGACCACACTTCAAGAACTGTTTCCTCAGAGACAAATTGGCTTCCATGCTGCTCCTAGGCCTGCTATTGTCCAAAGAGGACAGTGCCTTCCTAATCTGCCCTGAAAGGTTTTTTTTTTTCCTAGAACACTGTCCTCTTCTCTCACCAATCCAGAAAGCTCTAGGTGGGGGCTGGTTCTCTTCAGTCACCACAAACAGCCTCCAGAGACCCTCAGGGGAGATTTGCCTCTCCAAAGCTGCTTAGATCTAAAATGACATAAGGTAAAATAATCTTAAGTATCTGGATATTCTAGAATAAACTGAGAAACACTCATTTTTCCTCCATGTGATCTGCCCTAACTAGTATGGGAATAAGAAAATCTGATGCCTGTGATCTTGAGACTTACGTGAAGTGTGTACATTATTTGAGGAATCACTGTTGGTTTCGACATGCCATTTCTCGGGAGAAGTGTGGCCTGGAGCTGAGCTTATAGATGCCAGTCCTAGAACTAGCTGCATTGGAGTCCCTGGGCATGCTTGTTAAAATACAGACACAGGCTCTGTCTCCCCCCCTTGACCTGTGGGACACGTCCCGGGAACCTGTTTCTCACAAGCCCCGCAGGTGGTCCTGGTGTGCATCTAGGCTTAAGGATACCTAGACCAGTAGCCAAACAGTAAGAGGACCTGGTGGTTGTTATTACGTGCTGTCGAGTTGATTCCAACTTATAGCAACCCCATGTGAGAGAGTAGAACTGCCCCATAGGGTTTTCTAGGCTGTAATCTTTATAGAAGTAGATTTCCAGGTCTTTCTCGCATGGAGCCTCTGGGTGGCTTCGAACTGCCAGCCTTTTACTTAGCAGCCGAGAGCTTAACCAGAGGACCTGGACTGGCCCTAACTGGTTAGTGAGGTGACCCAGGGCCACCAGGTGGAGCTGTTCAACTTTTCCAGAAGATCAGGGTAAACGTTAGATTTAATGAATATGTTTGAAGATCGTAATTCACAGCTGTCTGACGAGGGTGGGGATTGTGTCCCCCACGCTGTGGCAGTGCGGCACCAGATGTGGCTTGCGGACTGCTGCCACGCTGTGTCACCTGGCCACGCAGTACTTCTGTTTGTAAGTGAGAAATTCACACGTGGTGTCAATCCACTGTGGCTCTGAGCACGCTGCTAGTGCCAAAGGCATTTTTGTCACAGCAGGCTTTCTTAATGAAGGAGGCAGCACACTGCTGGACATCCTGGCCCGAGCTTCTAATCCCGTCACAGGCCACTCACGGGCAGTGCTTGGAGTAGCCCTGTTATCCAGTATTGTAAGTATCTGGGGCTCTAAGAACATGATAGGATCAACCCTGGTCTGAACTTCATCCTGACCTCAGATGAATCCATTAGGGCCCAGTGAAGATCGCATCCATTCACAGATGCTTTTCTCGGCTTAGTTACAACCAATTGATCATTCTCACATGCTCTTTCTCTTTCTCATTTACTGACACTAAACTCAGCCGACGCTCTCCCTGGGGTGCTGAGGTGGCAGCAACGTCTGTGGTCCTTGACAACCCGATTTATTGAGGCCAGGGCTTCCGGAAATGTTCCCAGGCCTCAGCTGTTGAACAACGAGGAAAAAGCTGAGGCCAGGAAGCTTTGGGAGTACAAGAACTCGGTCATCTCTCAGGTCAGAAGCTCTCCAGTGGACACTGGTTGATTCTGTAACTCACCATTCTTTGGGAGCCTTTGCCTTGTGGTTTGTGTGGCCCTCCCTGCCTCGGTGTGCGCCACAGCAGGTCTTCCTTCCTTACTGCGGCGGCCCCACTTGCCTTGATTAGTTGATACCCACCACCTTGGGTGCTCCACCACGGTAGCACAGCAGTACACACAGTCTAATGGAAGAGGCCCTCCCTTTGATGATGTCTCACATTTGTCTGTCCTGGATGGAAGGAAGCTGTCCTCTTCCCCAGTTTCCATAGTTTAGCAAAGGGTCCACTTAGCTGATGACACACTACATACGTTATGTTTAGAGTTGAAAGGGGCGTTAAGAGACCATCTCCTTTAGCCTCCTCATTTTACAGACGGAGACAGAGATAAGGCCCAGAGAGGTTAAATGTCTTGCCCAGAGTCACACAGCTAGTCAGGAACAGAGTAAAGACTAGAATCCTAGTTCCCCGATGCCCAGCGTAGTGGGGACTTTGCTATTCCATCACTTCGTTACGCAATATCCGTGTTAGTAATGGTTAAGTCTTGCAAATTAATAATTTGTTCATATTACCTTCTAAGTGTACAATTCAGTGACATTAATTACATTCACCATGTTGTCCAGCCGTCACCACTGTCCATTGTCAAATCATTTTTTAATGGCTTGCTGATATCCCCAGATTCTTCCTGTGCCTTTTTTTTTTTTTAAGATGTGCTGATTCAAACTTCTAGAGTCGGCTAAGGTCCCTGACCTGGACTCTAATGATATTGAGAGGGCAGATTCTTTCCTCTCTTGTTTGTATAACCTGAAATGGCTGTGTGTCTGGCCTGGTTCTCATTTGGTGACACTTCAGCTTTATTTCCTGTGGAGAAGTAGTGCTCCCCGAATTGAATTCAGTGATCTGAGTGATGCGTGAGTGATTGTTTTCATACCGCATAGTTCCTCTCTGGGTTTGGCAAATTCTTCTATTCTTGCAGATAATCAGATTGGGTTATTTCAATGATTTGGAAACTCTTGTCATCTTAAAGACATGTTACTTTTCTAAATTCTTACACGTGGTCAAAATTGAAAAGCAACCAAACAGGAAAATTGTATTGGTGTTCTTATTTTGACTCCACATTTCAAAATGTAAAACTAACCTTATCCCATTTGTTAACACCCCGCATTGTGAATTAAAGTCCAAGGGGAAGGGCTATCCTTTACCCACTCTCCTGCTTACTTGTTTTGATGTTTGCTCATCAGGGAGCCTGGCATCCTAGTCAGGTAATTAGCATTGGTTTTTGAACACCTACTTCAGGAACCAGCACTGTCCCAGACAGGGGGGAGGAGGGACAGTCTTGAATCATGGAAATACTGACCATGAATTAAAAAATCTTTGACTGATGAGCCAAGTAGAGTGATTATTTGAGACAGTGAATACGTTTGTAAATATCTTTGATTGCGTTCATTGAACTTTGCATATTTTTCACAATTCAGAGTGTTTTGTTTTTTATTTGTTTTTTGTGGAAAGTTTAAAAGAATTTTGAAGAAAGTGAGTAATTCCATTTTTACCCATAGGTGACTGCCCATTTCACAGAGGACTTCTCACTGAATTCTGCGATTTCTCAGCTGATGGGACTCAGCGGCACCCTCTCAGTAAGTGGCCTGTCTGTCCTCATTGGCTGACAGTAGTGGGGAGCGCAGCTTCTAGCCGAGTGGTGAGGTGGTCACTGGGGACAGACAGGCCAGGACAGACAGCAGCACCACAGGGTGTCACCTCCCCAGGGTGATTGTGTTATCTTAAAGAAGCATTTTCTCAGTAGTTGCAGCCTAGTTTTATTGCTAGAAGGTTCTTAAAGATTGTCTGGTCCAAACCCCAGCCCATCTTCTTTTGCAGATGAGGACACTGAGGCCAGGGAAGCTAAACGACACCACCAGTTGGTTAGTGAGAAGCCCAGGACCAGAGTCCAGACTCCCTCTACTCTGGCCATGCTCTTTTCTTCCTGCCCCCACTACCTGATTTCTTCATGCTCACACTGCCTGATTTCTTCATGCCCCCACTGCCTGATTTCCTGAATGAACACCTTCCTTGGAGGGTAGTTGTAAGAAGCAAATGAGTTCGCATTAGACCGAGGGCATAGCAAGGTCTCAGTTAATAGAAATACATTTGTTGTTGCTGCTGCTGCAGCTGTCTTAAATACCGTGATTAAATGGGGAAAGTTTTCTGTCCAGAGCAAAAGCAGGTGGTAGAGAAGGTTTCTCCCCACCTGCTTGTGTTGCTTTACTTCAGATATGCGTTAGTTCCTAGAGCTGCCGTAGCACATTCCCACCAACTGGGGGCTTAAAGCTACGGAAATTTATTCTCTCTTGGTTCAGGAATCCAGAAGTCCCAAGTCAAGGTGTTGGCAGGGCTGGTTACTTTTGGTGACTGTTCCATGCCTCTCCCTAGCTTCTGGTAGTTGCCGGCAATCCTTGGCGTACATTGGTTTGTGGCAGCATGATACCAGTCTCTGCCTCCGTGATCACACGTTGTCTCTCTGGGTGTCTGTGTTTTCTCTTATAAACACACTCGCCATTGGATTAGGGCCCACCGTAATTCAGTATGACTCTTGGCGCAGTGGTTAAGTACTCAGCTGCGAACCAAAAGGTCAGTGGTTTGAACCCACCAGCCACTCCGTGGAAGAAAGACCTGGTGATCTGCTTCCATAAAGATTTACAGCCTTGGAAACCCTATGGGGCAGTCCTACTCTGTCCTACAGGGTCGCTATGAGTTGGAATCGACTCAATGGCAGTGGACTTGGTTTTGGTTAATTACATCTGCAGAGACCTTGTTTTCAAATAAGGTCACATTGTATTTCCAAATAAGGTCACATTCTGACATGAATTTGTTGGTGGGGTGCACTGTTCAACGCAGTTTAATATAATGTTCTTTCGTACCCATGCTTATTTTTTATGCCTCAGTATGCTTACACTGTTGTTCTTTTCTGTCCTTAGCAAGCTTCTCAGCAGGTGCTTCTGCACAGCCCCGAGTTTGAAGATGCTCTGTGTGCCCTGATGGTGATGGCTGCACCGATGGCCCCTCACATAACCTCAGAGCTCTGGGCAGGTACGCAGGGAGCTCTTGTTTGACCAGTTAACTGCTAACCGGGGTGTGGCCATATTACATACACAGCTGTCCTCAGCTATGGAGTCCAGTGTTTGGCATCTACACTCAGGGACCTCTCTGCCTTGTATGCTGAATGGTGGTACTACTTCTACATGGTCACCGTGCCAAAGGGCAAGACACTGCCCCACTTTGGAACAGTGTCCAGACTAACATGACTATTGATATCACCACAGAGCATCCCTTCTCAGCCCAGCTTCCTCATATCCACATATCATGACCCTATATTATCTTTTTAAGATGGAAAACTCTTGTTTCTTCCCCCTTTACAGATGGAGTAAAGGGCACCTGGCGTTAAATCGCAGATCCATAATTTACTCGAGACTGTGATTCAGTCCTAGTCTCCAAACGAGTTATACCCAAACTAGGGGCCGAAGCAGGGCTGGCTACCTGAGGCTCATGTGGGTTAAATGTAGATACCTCTGCCTCACTCACTTGGCGATCTTGATTCTGAAGTTCTGGGGAGGGGCAGAGACTCTGTGTGTAACCAGCTCCCTGGTGACTCTGATGGACAGGCAGATGGGGAGCAAGGCCCTCAACAGAAGGACCTCAGGGCAGCCTGTGGAGAACACCGGATGGGTCCCATCGGTAGCTGCAACAGACCACAACCAGAAAGACCTCTGTCCTCTCCTTTGAAAACATAATGTGAACATTCTTTACATAGGGAGCTATTTTTTCTAAATGGTGTGAGGTTTATACTCTCTTCCTTTCGTGGAAGAAAAAGCACAAAATTCCATCGCCATGAAATCATTCCCAGTCCCCTTAGGAGAGTCGGTGTAGTTAAACCCAGCATTGCAGGCAGTTTGAGTGTGTTTAGCTGCAGCGTGGCTGAGTTCGAGATGCTGGCAGGTAGGGAAAGATGCTCGCTTCACTGTGCCCCAGCAGTGGTCCTGATATGGGAATGGAAGTGGAGTGAGGAGGTGCTGTGCCCTGGCAGGAGAACTTGATGATGGCCATGCTGGGCCCTGTTCTCCAAGCCTTGTAGTCACAGGTCTCCTGTGATCTTGGAAGTTTTAGATGAGCCTGCAAGAGAATGCTGCGTGTACATAATACTTTCGTCTGGGAGCCTCTGAGAAGTAGCATCCTCACAGCAGCCTTCCCAACACCTCCACCAAGGCAATGAGGTATCACTCGGGTAGCACCAATTCATGAGACGAGTCCTACTGACCACTAACTCCACAGAAAAGTCATTGAATGGAAGCTCACTGTTAAACCCTTTCAAAGACTAAACCAGAAAAAAACCCAAACCCTTTGCCGTCAAGTCAATTCCAACTCATAGCGATCCTATATAACAGAGTAGAACTGCCCCACAAAGTTTCCAAGGAACAGCTGGTGGATTCCATCTGCTGACCTTTTGGTTAGCAGGCTGAGCTCTTAACTACTGTGCCACTGAGGGAAAAAAGTAAGGAACTGCAGGAAAGAAGCAATGGCATTTCTCATTTCCAAGTGAGAAGGGAGAAGGGCTATTTCCTGGCTCAAAATGAGGAGTGAGCCCTCATCAGATGTGTGTTGCCCTGTGATGAATGCCCTGAGCCTCGAGTTGCAGAATTGAAGGATTCTATGGGGAAAATATTGAACAACATAGGAAGCGTCAAAAGAAGGTAGAGGAAATACACAGAGTCACTATACCAAAAAGAATTGATCTACATTCAGCCTTTTCAGGAGGTAGCATGTGATCAAGAACCGGTGGTATTGAAGGAAGAAGTCCAAGCTGTACTGAAGGCATTGGCGAAAAGCCTCCAGGAACTGACAGAATACCAGTTGAGATGTTTCAACAAACAGGTGCAGTGCCAGAGGTCCTCACTCATCTATACCAGGAAATTTGGAAGACTCCTACCTGGCCAACCGACTAGAAGAAATCCATATTTGTGCCCATTCCAAAGAAAGGTGATCCAACACAATGCAGAAATTATCGAACAATATCATTAGTATAACACAAGTAAGATTTTACTAAAGATCATTCGAAAGAGGTTGCAACAGTACATCGACAGGGAACTGCCAGAAATTCAAGCTGGATTCAGAAGAGGATGCGGAACGAGGGATATCATTGCTGATGTCAGATGGATCTTAGCTGAAAGCTAAGGGGATACCAGAAAGATGTTTACCTGTGTTTTATTGACTATACAAAGGCATTCGACTGTGTAGATCATAACAAATTATGGATAAAACACTGAAGAATGGGAATTCCAGAACACTTAATTGTGCTTACCAGGAGCCTGTACATAGACCAAGAGGCAGTTGTTCAAACAGAACAAGGGGATACTGTGTGGTTTAAAATCAGAAAAGGTGTGTGTCAGGGTTGTATCCTTTCACCATACTTGTTCAGTCTGTATGCTGAGCAAATAATCTGAGAAGTTGGACTATATGAAGAAGAATGTGGCATCTGGATTGGAGGAAGACTCATTCACAACCTGCGATATGCAGATGATAACCTTGCTTGCTGAAAAAGAAGAGGACTTGAAGCACTGATGAAGGTCAAAGACTACAGACTTCAGGATGGATTACACCTCAACATAAAGAAAACAAAAATCCTCACAACTGGACCAATAAACAACATCATGATAAATGGAGAAAAGATTGAAGTTGTCAAGGATTTCATTTTACTTGGATCTTTTACTTGGATCCACAGTCAGCGTGCACGGAAGCAGCAGTCAAGAAATCAAACAATGTATGACATTGAGCAAATCTGCTGCAAAAGACCTCTTTGAAGTGTTGAAAAGCAAAGATGTCACTTTGAGGACTAAGGTGCATCTGACCCAGCCATGGTGTTTTCAGTCGCCTCATATGCATGTGAAATCTGGACAGTGAATAAGGAAGACTGAAGAAGAATTGACCCCTTTGAATTATGGTGTTGGCAAAGAATATTGAATATACCATGGACTGCCAGAAGAACGAACAAATCTGTCTTGGAAGAAGTACAGCCAGAATGCTGCTTAGAAGCAAGAATGGTGAGACTTCATCTCATGTACTTTGGACATGTATATCAGGAGGGACCAGTCCTTGGAGAAGGACATCATACTTGGTAAAGTGGAAGTTCAGCGAAAAAGAGGAAGACCCTCAGTGAGATGGATTGACACCGTGGATGCAACAATGGGCTCAAGCATAACAACTGTGAGGATGGTGCAGGACCAGGCAGAGTTTCATACTGCTGTACACAGGGTCACTATGAATCGGAACTAACTGGACGGAACCTAACAACAACATCTAAGGATGGGGGGATTTGTTCTGGATTGGGTGCTGTCAGAAGTTGGGTTTATTGCACATTGCAGTGAAGGAGACACACAGCATGGGGAATTGTGGGGCATCCCCGTAAGAAAGTGTGAGGAAGGACCTATTATAGGATTTGAGCTTTGATTCATTTTGGGAAGGGTCTAAGGAAGCGGGGATTCATTCTGGATTGGATGCTGTTAGTAGGAACAAATTCTATGATTATCTCAAGAAATCTTATTATTGGGAGGGCATACCAGAGCAAGAGTAAAACGGTAATTGGTAAAGAAGTAGCAGTCACTCGTATTTGCCAAGAGACGGGGGATGTTTGCTGTTTTGTGAGTTGCACAGTGACCTTGTCTTTGTGCTTAGATGAAATTATGAAGTGGTCTTGTTTTGTCTCACTTTACCATGGTTTCAGTGTGACCTTGTCTGATGTAGTTGTTCTGTGAGATTGTTTATGTCCAACAGGAGAACGACATGGCCTAGCTGTGAGCACCAGGCAAGTTTCCACAACACTGAGGCCTGGCTGGGATTATCAGACCAGTTCCCAAATGTCAGGGCCTGCTTTTTTCGTTCTTTCATTTTGTTTCTTTGTTTGTTTGTTTTCATTCTCATATATGAGCACGGAAGAGAAAATGAAAATTACCCTTGCCCGCCAGAAATGAACGACCTCTGTCAACATCTTAGTGCAGATCAGTGATTATATCTATTTATCCATCTAGTTGGGTTTTGTTTTCTTTTGTTTTAGTTGCCATGTCTCTTTATTAAGGTAAAATTTATATGCCATGAAATTTACCCATTTTAAGTATGCATGCAGTGATTTAAGTAAATGTATACACCTGTGCAACCGTCACCATAAAGCAGTTTCGGAACGTTTCCATTTAGCTCAGAAAGTTCCCTCCTGCTGTTTGCAGTCTGTCCTACCCCCACGCTCAGTCCCCAGCACCACTCGTCTGCTTTCTGTCTCTATAGTTTTGCCTTTTCCAGAAATTGTATATAAAATGACTATGCAGTGTGTAGGCTTTTCTGTCTGATTTCTTTCATTTAGCATAATGCTTTTGAGATTCGTTCGTGTTATTGTGTGTACCAGTAGCTCATTTCTTTTTATTGCTGATTTAGCTGTTTTTATCATTAACCAAGAGACCATCGTATAACCTGATTTACTCACTTAAATATTCCATGAACATATTTATCTCTGAGTCATTAAATATTCTTCTCTCAAAAACCAAACCCACTGCCGTTGAGTCTATTCCAACTCATAGTGACCCTATAGACAAAGTAGAACTGCCCCATAGGGTTTCCAAGGCTGTAGATCTGTAAGGAAGCAGACTGCCACATCCTTCTCCTGTGGAGTAGCTGGTGGGTTCGAACCACTGTCCTTTCAGTTAGCAGCAGAGTGCTTAACCCACTGTGCCACCAGGGCTCCAAATATTCTTCTGTGACACCGTTTTTAATGGTTATATAGTATTCCACTATTTGCAGTTACCATTTCCCTATTGTTGGACATTTATACTGTTTATAATTCTATGTTTGTCTTAGTCATCTAGTGCTGCTGTAACAGAAATACCACAAGTGGATGGCTCTAACAAAGAGAAATGTATTTTCTTACGGTCTAATAGGCTACAAGTCCAAATTCAGGGCACCACCTCCAGGGGAAGGCTTTCTCTGTTGGCTGCGGAGGAAGGTCCTTGTCATCAATCTTCCCTTGGTCTGAGAGCTTCTCCGCGCAGAAA